TTTTAGTAACTACTGGGAATTGTAAAAATACATAGATTTTACATTATTGAATTGTTTTGGTCAGAATAGGGTTTTTTGCAACCAAAAATATATCATAGACTTTGAATTGTGATAGCCGATGGAATACACTACTACGCTTACATAGATGACTATTTTGATTTTTCGATCAAAAAAAAAACAAGAAAAAAGAGATTTTGTTTTGTTTGAAACAACATATTTTCTTAAAGACTAATTTCATCAAACATATATATTGTTATTTGACTTAAAAAATAGGACAATCGGTTTCGTTTGTTGTAACTTGTAACGATTCAAATATTTAAGATGTTGAGTAGTGACAACAGTTTTTTATCAAGAATATGTTTTTATTATTACATCGAAACCGTCGACAACTCAAGAGCTGAAAAAGGCTCGTTTTGCTAACGAATCCGCCAACATATTGGCTTCTCGTGGAACAACAAAAGAATGAAAGCTGCCTAAAATGGGAAGCTAACATACTAATCTCGAAAAAATGTTATGTATCTCTGTATGTGATTCTTTATTCCACAGAAGGTTAATCAAAACATGTGAATCCGAACATATTCTAAACTTTTTTTCTGGAGCCTTCTTTAACGCTTTGACACAGTCCAAGTTTTTTGCTACCAAGGCCGAGAAAAACATTTGAAATGGAGTCAACTTGTTTCGTTATGGAAACGCCACCCTAAACTTCTTTGTGCTTTTCAAAAGTTAGAAGTGACAAAGGTTAGAATGCAATTAAAATTTTCTTTTTTTTTTACATAATTTTTTTTCAGCTTTTACAAATAAAGTACCTACTATATGAAAAAGTAGATTTAATTTACGATAAATAGTTGTTCATCCAAAAAATAATGTGGCAATACTTCCGCCGATTATTACCATTAGAACATATACTTATACAGTCAAGTTGAAGGCGGCTGAATTCGCCCTAAAAGCTCTCAGACACATTGCCCGAGGGAGCCATCGATGAGTCTTCTTCTCTGTCGGTAACTCCGGCGAACAGGAAGATCCTCTTATTCTGATTGGAACCTTCATCTTTCTGGGTCGAGTGAGACCTTCTCTAGCCTTCGACACGAGCTTCTCCCTCCGATGGTTGTCTCCTCGTTGTCTTCCCTCGCAATGACATGCCAATCGGAACTGATCAGCCTTGCTCACCGTCGGGGATTGACTGACCCATCGCCTCTGGACCGTCCGGTACCGTCGAAGCCGTCGAATCCACCAGATCCGCCGGACGATCCCGATATCGCACAGATTCTAGTCTACTGCTTATGTGCTTCCTTCGCCGCCGGGGTATCACCGCTCTCTCGACTCCATCTCCCATATCGTTTTCTCCGGATCCGCTGAGTAAACAACTTCCACAGACGGGATCTGATGAGTTCCTCTTTGCCGAACATTCTGCTTGTTCTGGTACGGGAAACCAGATTTTCCAGCCACCCCCTTCAACCCCTATCGCACCGCCGGAGTTTCCTTCTCCGGAGCCTACTCTCCTTCGTCCTTCTTCGGCCGAGATAGCCGATGGCTCCTTCCTCCCGTCTCTTCCCTGGTACGAGATCTCTCTTGTCTGGGCCTGGCCCATTAGGAGTCTTTGGCTCTTTGGCCTTACAAAGCTTTTTTCCATGCCTTCAAAGCCCATATTGTGGTATGCATTTGTGGTTGGTGTTTTTACTAGCTGGAATACAGCCAATGCTTCATCGAGGATGGTTTATTTTGCAACTTCCTTACTTATTTGGAAAAATAAGAAATCAGCTCCAACTTCCTCCTTCGTCGGAGAGAAATCCCTTACTTATTTCGAAAAATAAGAAATCAGCTCCAACTTCCTCCTTCGTCGGAGAGAAATCAATTGCATTGTCCCCTTCTATTGGAGAGAGAACCTTTTCACCATCTTCCCTATCTTTGAGAGGGGTCATAGTCTCAAGCGTTTTGCCGGAAATCCTTAAGAATTTTCTTACCGCCTTCTTATGTAGTGTTCTATACGAGACTAAAAGAAGAAACCGGACTCGTTGCGACGACGAAGACCGGAGGTAGAGATTCGTTTTCAACGTCACGTATGAAAGTGACTAATTTCAAAAGCGATCCGGCTTTGCCGTGAATGCTCTTTTGACGCATTTGAGCCATGCCTCAAATCCGCTATCCATTCTATGCTCTATTGTTGTTATCTGTTGTTTGAGTAATTTAAGAGGATATTTTATTCTCTTTTGTTGTATTTCAAAAACTTAATTAATGAATTAAGGGTTGGAAAAAAAAAAGAACCTATACTTATACTATATTCTTTTGGCACTTGTATTTATTAGCTAAAAATGGAATCAAAGTCTGACTTTCGGCGACTGTTCCGTGCAACTAGAAATGTAGTATCATTTTTGTACAAAGTAAAATTAGTTTAAAAACATAAATACACATGAAAAAAATTCACCACCACAATTTCAGGATCTACATTGACGTTCATGTGATACAAATCGTCTAATTTAAGATTTGCACTCAGGACTTATAATTATTAACCCTTCACTAACAATTAAATTATTTTCCACGTTATTCTATTAAATTAGTAAGGAAATAACTTGTAGAAATTTAAAACAAGCAAATCTGTTAAAATAAAATAAAAAATCTGTTAAAATAATCATGACTCATAAGCAATTTTACTGCATAGCTCAGAATCCACTATGTAGTTTGGAGTGATTATGTTTACTACTATAATCAATATTTACTAATAGCATAAGTTCAATAATTTTTTCGTACCATGACGATTGACGAACATGTCATCCTACAAAGTCACAAACCGGTTTTCACAAATCCCATTTTGACCTGTAAACTTGAATTCCTAGTGACGGTTGCAAACTTTGATCAATTGTTATGATTTGGACTAGTTGTGTTCAATAAGAACCATTTAATCATATAGCTAGATGGTTGCATTCCCATTTCATATGTTATTTCGATCTCATGCATATCTTTTTAGGATAGTAGGTTGATGATAAAATATTTTTCTTATGCAAAGTTATTATGCTTCATGCTAATTTTCAATATATATCAAATTAAAACATTAGCGTTATATACAATATAACTATACTAAGCTAATTCCGTGGGATAAAAAGTGAAGCAAGCTAATCATTCGAGTACTGTTCTTCCCTTTACAGCTTAAATCATCAAAAGTTCAATACTTTACAGCTTCAATATCACAAATTGGCGACAACATCCAATTCTACGTGTATAGCGATAATCTTATTATTTAACAACAACAAAAAAGCTATAAAA